GCAAATTAAAGAGGACTAAATTCTCTACAATTTATCCAGCGACAGCATATGTCTATCACCTACCCTTTAGTCGGGGTGGCGCTCTAAAGTTGAATGACCTTGAAAAAAGATGTTTTGGATTTTTTTTTTACTGAACAGTAAAGAGAATCCACCACAAACCATGCAGCAAATAATTGGCCAATTTTTTGGTATACGTTTTATTTAAAAACAGTAACCCGTTTAAGATATAAAAGGTGTCGAAATTTAAGCAACCCGCTTTCATATCATCTGAAGGGCTAATGCTAGGCTGTTCAATTTTTCAGGGATTATTGATGTACGAATGATATTGAAAAATTTGTATAATGCACCCCTATTTTCTTCCTGGAACCACCCCAAAAAAAAATAAAATTTGAAAAAAAAAAATGCCTTTATTTCATTTTCTCGCACACAATGCCCTCCATGTAAATGGTTCAAATATTTTTTTGTGCACACCTTCGACATACACGCATAGACACCAAAATCATTTTTCTAGTACAACCCCACTAGACGGGAAAAAAAATTAAGGGGGTGGAATTTTTTTTTTTTTGGCTTTTTGTTTCACATAGGTGAGTGGCGCACTAAATAAGCTTTCCAAAAATATATCTACTTATTGCAACATCCCTCTGGAAACTACCCCTGCCCCTTATGGAAGTTGTCGCAACCACTCTTTAGCGATTATTTCGTTACCTATGCATTGTATGTGAAGGAAATTTATACGAAATTGAAAATCACCATATGCTCTACTCTACAAATAAGGTCTTGATGCATTTTCTTTATATTTGCAATCGTTACGCTACAGTGGCGTCCCAAAGTTCAGCAATTTAGAAGTGGATTCCAGTTTTATTCGATTATCTCGTCACCTATATATTTTATCGCTAAAATTTATTTGCTAAATGGAAGGCCAGAAATTTGTCTACTCATTATGCCCTATGCACTTTCTAAGTTCTTGCCACCTGTCAGCCAGAACAGTAGCCCAAATGTCGGAAAACGTCACGCAAACTCCATTTTTGTTTTTTTTTCTTTTTCGTAAATGGTCTTCAACTCATGTTATAAGGGCCTATCTAATTGATCTATTATAACAGTATTATGTATATACCAATTATATTTCATGCATTTTAAGCTCTATGTTCCAACCAATAAAATACAGTGGCGGCATCGACAGCTTGTAGTTGTTTCCACACCACCCAACAATGGTGTGGGAACCATGTATTGTTCGTCGATTTTAATCTGATACTCGGACGGAATGTGAGCTGGTGGTTCCCTACATTAGAACTCCAATGGTTACCTGACGTCACACCTGTTTTTGCCATATGAAACACCCCCTCGCTCCTCATACGGAAAGTGTCAGTTAAAAATCGACGAACAATAGGTACTCTACCTCAAGAGGTGCGTTTTTTTATTGGGGTGTCCCCAGTAGACGTTAATGTATGTATTTTTTTCCTCTCATCTTCTCGGTTAGGGGGTGCTAAATCTGGAATTTGCTATAAAATTTCTGAGCTTTGAGACGCCACTGTGGCGTAACGGCTGCAAAATATAAAAAAATGCATTAGGAACCTATTTGTAGAGCATATGGTGGTCTACTGGTTGCGACAACTTCCATAAGCGGCAGGGGTAGTTTCCAGAGGAATGTTTCAATAAGTAGATCTATTTTTAGAAAGCTTATTTAGTGCGCTACTGACCTATGTGAAACAAAAAGCCAAAAAATTTTTTTAATTTTTCACCCTCTTAATATATTTTTTTTCCGTTTAGTGGGGTTGTACTAGAAAAATGCTTTTGTTGTCTATGCATGTATGTCGGAGATGTGCACAATAGTTATTTTTGTATCAAGGGCGCGAAATGCTCGACTATTTTTTTAACTCGGCTGCGCCTTGTTAAAAAAATGAGATCTCGATCACCAAAGTATTTCGCGCCCGAGTTGCAAACAATATTTTTTCTACAACTTCATTTAAATATCAATCATTCGAAGCCAAAATTGCATTTTCAATCAAAGGTAGGTGAATTTTAATTATTTTTGATTTCCTGACAGGTATGTGTCACCATGACACCCAGTGTGCGAACTAGTTATTTCGCGCACACGTGCGCGAAATAGCTAGTTCGCGCACGGCGTCATGGGAACGTTAAAAAATCAATACCTGGGAAAAAAAGTGCCACTTCGCAAACTGTCATGAGTGTGCGAACATCATCATTTTTTGACAGTTGTAGAAAAAATAATATTTGAACCATTCACATAGAGGGCATTGTTGCGAGAAAATGAAAAAAAAGCATTATTTTTTTGAAATTTTACTGTTTTTGGGGTGGTTCCAGGTGGAACATAGGGTGCATTAAACGAATTTTTCAATATCATTCTAACATCAATAATCCCTGAAAATTTGAACAGCCTAGCATTAGCCCTTCAGATGATATGAAAGGGGGTTGTTTAAGTTTCAACACCCTGTATATCTTAAACGGTTTACTATTTTTAAATAAAACATATACCAAAAAATCGGCCAATTATTTATGAGTATTTGCTTTATAGCTTGTGGTGGATTCGCTTTACTGTTCAGTAAAAAAAAAAATAATCCAAAACATCTTTTTTCAAGGTCATTCAACTTTAGAACGCCATCCCGACTAAAGGGTAGGTGATAGACATATGCTGTCGCTGTTGTAGAGAATTTAGTCCTCCTTAATTTGCTAAGAAAGTATTTTTTTGCAAAACTTAGCAGAAGCGCTACGTTTCCGAAAAACCACAAAAAAACACCTTTAGGGGGATGGAAGGGGATGTTCCAGGGTGAAGTTTTGTTGGAAAAAGTTAGACCCATAATAAGCAGCTCTTGTCCTACCAGAAAAAAAAATAAAACAGAACTTGTGTCGAGTTTGCGAGGTTCAACCTTTCTTTCCTGGCCTATAGCTTAATCTGAGCGGTGACTTGCTGAGTTTTCGGCCACTATACCAATAATAAGCCTTATTGGTAACCATAAGCTTTATTATAGTTTGGTAAATCCCGAATACCATCTTTTCTTCAGTTTACCAACCAGTTTGCGGCATGACCAGATGGCTGATATAGCTTCAGAACAGTGGTTCCCAACCTTTTTTTAGTCACGACCCTTTTACAGGTTTGCTCATAAGGTCGCGACCCCTCTACCCATAATAAATAAAAAACAAAATTTCATTTATTCAAGAAATCTTTAACAAAAATAATAATATTCCGTAACTAAATACAAAAAGTCAATTTTTATTTTGTTAGTGATGACTGAGCTTGCATCTCCGTAACAAGTTTTGAAAGTCTTGGTTGAGTTTTTGTTAAAGCCAGTCTTATGTCATTTTGAACTCCCAGTCTGTTTCTGGCCTTTGTTCTAATTTGCAATAGTTTAAAAACCGCTTTCACGAAAGTAAGTAGAGGCAAATGGTATGAGTATCAAAAAAAAAAGCACAAGCAGTGCGACATAAGGATATGAACTATGCATGGCACATCAAAATTCATTCAAGAATTTTTCCTGAAATAGGGCAGGTGCTGTGGAGTCATTCCTCAGCTTGATATTGCGACCCCTCCAAAAACCCTATGCAACCGCCTTAGGGGTCGTGGCCCACCGGTTGGGAACCGCTGCTCTAGAACATGTATTCTTTATCTGTTTGTTCCAAGTGAGTGTTTGGTCCAGGGTGACCCCCAAGTATTTCACTTCTTTGGAAAATGTTAGTTGTGTACCGTTAAGGGTGGGAGCTTTCAAATTCAGCTTCCTTCTTCTTGTGAACGGGACAAGAATTGTTTTGTTTTGCTCGGGTTTAGGGATAGTTCCTCGTCTTCGCTCCAATTTTTAACGATGTTTAGAGCACTTTGCATTCGGCTTGTTATTACGCCTTCATGTTTGCCCTGGATTATAATGGCCAGGTCGTCTGCATAGCCTATGACCTGGTATTTAGCGCTACTCAGTCTGGTAAGGATTTTGTCCACCACTAGTGTCTATAGAAGTGGGGAAAGTACACTCCTTCAGGACACCCTCTGGCCGTGGTAGCGGTAGCTGATGCTTCGTTTATTTCAGCCGTAACGTAACGGTGTTTTAGCATCGACTCTATCCATGGCCTTCTGGATTAATGCTATGTCAACATTATCCCCGTGTAAGACCAGACATCAGAATGGTCGAAGGACTGCTCACAGGACACTGCCTGGTGAAATACCCCTTAAGGTTAATGGTCAAAGCAGAAGACGATCTCTGCAGATTTTGCTCAGACGCAATAGAGACCACAGAGCACTTGCTCTACGAATGTCCATCCCAATTCTGCAAGAGGCTCAAATTCCTCGAGGGGGCAACACTGTCACCAGAAGAAGTGGGCCAACTGACCCGCAGAAAAATAGCTTCCTCCGGCCTCCGGCAGAAGTCTACGCTTCCTGGAGATAATTAAAGATAAAGAGTCACGTACAAAATATCTGCAAAGGTCGCAGTACTGAGCGGCTGGAAAGCCGAAAGGATTCCCCCCACAATCTATAATCTAGGGAAATGTAGAATCATGTCACAGAAATTAGGCGGCAATTACGTCATCAACGCTGTTATAGGGCCAGAAAAATTTGTGTCCCGGGCTTTTTAGACTCGTCCACCTATGTACTATCTGAACCCGAAGAAGCGCATTGGTTGTCAGACGTGAAATATTCTGGTATAATTTTCAGCTACCTTACCCCACGAAACCTTTTGATAGCTAGGTACTTTACAATACAACATGTAATTTGAGTTCCATTTAACTGTACCTTAAATTTACTTTTATTTTCAGAAAAATCTCTTTTTGCATTTTAAGTCCCTGTAATTTTAATGCTCCATTTTTTTGGATCTTCACAACTTTTTTACTTGACAAGTTCATAAATACAGATTTGTTATTTAATGTATTTGCTTCCAAGTGCCGTGTCCACTAGGCCACTCCAGTGCGTCATTGAAATTTAATTACCATTTCCTAGGATATACTTTTACATGTAAACAATAGTTATAGACTACAAAACTACATGGATTTTTTTTTAGGAACCTGTGTACCCAAAGATGTAACAAGTATTTGTGAAATTCATACTGATGCTCACTTTATTTTGGTCGTTGAAAAGGACTCTATTTTTCAGAAGTTGATTGACGAGGATTTACCAAAAAGGTTAACGAGACCATTCATTTTAATAACTGTGAGTCACATTTTTTATTTGACGCATTAAAATTGACGAGTTGTATTTTTAGGGCAAAGGATATCCAGATCTTAGTACGCAATTGTTTTTAAAGAAACTCTGGATGACTCTAAGCGTCCCAGTCTTTATTTTAGTTGACGCGGATCCAGACGGCATATCAATTATGTTCAATTACAGATTCGGTTCTCTGGTATGGTAATTTAAGCCATTATGATAAAAAAATTCTGCAAGCATGAACTTTTTAGACGAATGCCCACATTTCTGAGCATCTAGCCATTCCAAAAGCGCGCTGGATAGGCGTGTTTCCCACGGATATACGTAAATTCGAATTCCCAGAGCAATGTTTGAGCAAACGAGAAATAGAAAAACTTCAGTCTATGTTACGGATGGAGTGCGTTCGTAAAAACCAAAAGATAAAAGAACAGTTGGAATATCAATTGGATCATGGGATTAAGACTGGAATTGAGGGTGTTCAGAAAAACGAAACGTATTTGAGTAATCAATATTTGACTACCAAGTTTTACAGTAAGGATTTTATTTAATTTATGTTAATTTAATTGTTCTATCAATCTTTGTACTTATATTAGGTAAGTTTATTTGTTCACTTTTTTTATTAGTACCTGAAAACTATTTGGTTTAGAGAATAATAATTATTGTAATATTAGTAACCCACTGATGTGTTTTCCATAGGTACGTAAATGTTAGATTTTTGGTTCAATAGTGTAACCAAATGATCAACAAATGTGTAGCTTATGTTTTGGTAGATTTGAGCCTATACGTTTTGCGAAAGGAACATATTCTCCATGAGAAATTCGATTTCACATTTTTTCAGATAAAAATGAGTCGTTTTCAATAAACGGGATTTTTAACTTCTAGCTTATCGCTTTTGTCAAATATTATTAACATTTATTTACATCAAACTTTGGTTTAAATCATAGGTAACAGTTTGCGTCCCCATTTATGTATTGAAACGTGACCTAACTTATTATTAGAATGCCTTTTTGTTTATTTCCATAAGAGAAATGTTTTATGTTCTATATAATTATTCAATTCAATAAATTTACTCTTGATAACTGACCATCTACTCATTTACCAGTATATTATATAATGAACTTAGAATATATGTTAATAGAACGGGAATTATATTCCTCTTAAAATGGGCATGTTGCCGATTTTTTCCAGTTTGCAGGTGGATTAGTAGCAATAGCATCAAATTTACCTGCAAGCTGATGCACAGGCTACATAAATCACCTTGTATAGATAATTGTTGAGAAACCATAACTTTTGTTTGTTCAATGGGGCCTCCTGGAGATTTCTGATATACTGTAATATTATAAGTTCTTTATCTGTAACATAGGGTTTCAAATAAATAAAACGACATGTCTAAACGACGGTTCTCTATGAATTAATGTATAATTGTTTACCCAATAGATGTTCCCAATACAATATGCTTATGCTACAATTTAGTTGCTAAATAATATATCAACTTAAAGAATAATTACCAATGCAGCATATTTACACTAGCAACATGCGCCTTTGCTATTTTAATAAAAACAGTTGCATCTAGGAAATTTTAACCGATAACTTTTTTCAAGGATATGTTTATGCGCGTGTTTGACCAGTAAATTTTTTTTGATTTTTCTCATTTTATGAATTTTTTTTCCAAAAAATGAGAAAAATAAAAAAAAAATTACTGGTCAAGCATGCACAAAAGTACATTCTTAAAAACAGTTTTTGTTAGAATTCCCTAGATGCAACTGTTTTTATTAAAACAGCATAGTCGCGAACGCGAAATATCAATTTTTTCAGCATCGAGAAGCGCGCTCTTAATCTAGGTCGACCTATTTCTATCAAAAACTACTTAAATATTTTTTACATAAAACTTCCCTATGCTACCTTATACTACAATACCAACTGACCATTCCCTCACTACTAAATGCCTGCAGCGTTTCCGATGGATTTTGCACTGCTCTTCAGCTGGCTCCGATACATTTGATTAAGATATCTGTTTCTAAACCTCAGCAATAAGGTGCCTACAACAGCTGTATAAAGTCCAACAAATACATTTTAAAGTCACGTGATTTTTCTCTATCCTTGTTGAATACATCTTAAACAGAGGTGATAGTAAAATTGACAAAAAAATTGGTGTCTAATTATTGTTCATAATATTCTTACCTGAAATAAAATCCGTCACTGTCATCAATTAGTTTGTCAAAGTTATTTTCGAAAATGATTCAACAAACAAACACAGCTAATAATTTTGATTATATTAACCTTTTTCCAACTCGAAAAGAAGCAAATAGAAAACGGGTACCCAATTCTAGTTCAGAATGAACAGCAGATGCGACAAAAGTGAGTCTCGCAACAATCGCAAGTATTAAAATTCCCATCTGATTAGTCAATACTACTTCAGAAACGCGTTAATAAAATGATAGTGGGAACATATCCTAAAATTCAATAGTAATTAACCACCAGTAGCTTTTTGTAGGTGATATTAACGACATAATCAATGAACATACGTTTTTTGCCACCAATATCACGTAACTTTAAAATGGTATTTGTCGGACTTTAGTTACTTTGCTTTGCCTCAAGAAGATTTTGGAGAATTTCGAGTGACATTCCGTGTAATTCCAGTACCAATGCTGTTGCTTTCTGCTGATCATCTCATCTATTTGCATTAGCAGCGGCCTCACTAACATTTATACATGGCCCAGATTATTTCACAATCAAATGTTGGTGGTTTGATGTCTTCTTCTTCTCCAGTTTTTTATATGGCTTCTCGAATTTTTCTCGAACCGCCCTTATACTGCCTTTAACTTCTTTCCGAACTGTCTCTATTTCGCATTAGACCGTTTTTATTTTGCCTTTGACTGCTTGTCGAATATTATGGAATAACTGACGATCCTTTCAATACCTTACTGTCAATTTGTTTTCGTTCTTTCTGATTGTCCTGTTCTGTTTATCTTTCATTCGCTTTGTTCACGAAAATTTGCGTTAGGTTTTCGAAAGTTTAAAGAGCAGCGGGACTGTAGCGCTAAATTCAATTTTGCCGCACAAATATTAATGGACATAAACCCGAGCCATACAAAGACAATGGAGGATTGGCACTTACTTGGTTTATGCTGGTTTTCGTCGATCCAGAGGAGCTCCTCGTGTCCAGAAAGTCTGCTTCTCAGCGACACACCGATACAACACAGTCTTAGAAATAAAAATAAGGAATTTTTGCCTTGAATTCGATAGGTTTTTTGATTTTGATAACGACCGAAAAAGCGGACGTGGTTTTAGAGACACGGCTTCGTACTGTCCTTCCTTCTCATAAATCACATATTTTTCACATACGCCGAGTCTGCGCGAGCGGTGCCAATTTTGATTTGAACTTGTATGGTTTTTAACGGTTTTTTCTTTCGTATTTTTGAATAAATATATAAAATAACAAAGTTGCATGAACATTAACCGCCCACTTAAAACGGAGTTTTACGTTGAATACATGAGAGAAAAAAATATATATAATACTAATAATAAAATAGAATAAAATAGAATAAAACTACAAAAACAAAACACAACACACAGAGATTGCTTATCTGAGTTTAACGCGAATCTAATAACAAAGGGCACAACTTTACCACTGGACGAGTAAGGAGCCCGTGCTGTGTTTTTACTGTAGCAATTCTAACGTGACCATCCGGACCAGGATGCACGGTTACTATTCTTCCCAGTGACCAGTGCAATGGTGGTCTGGATTCATCCTTGATTAACACCAAAGCGCCAAGCTTAATTTCGACGGAAGGATCGGACCACTTGCAACGTTGTTGCAAGGTGTTAAGGTACTCGATTTTCCAACGCTTCCAAAAATCTGAATGAAGGCGTTGAACAAGTTGCCAACGATTTAAAGTGTTTAGTTTTAGGGAAGAAAGGTCCGGATCAGGACAAGAATTTAATGGTTCTGTGGTCAGAAAATGACCAGGTGTCAGTGGTGACAGGTCATTTGGGTCTGAACTCTGTTCCCAGAGAGGTCTCGAGTTGAGAAGAGCCTCTATGTGTGAGAGAAGGGTATAGAGTTCTTCGAAAGTTAAGATTTGGTTGCCAATTACGCGATATAAATGAGTTTTGACAGATTTGACTCCCGCTTCCGCTAAGCCATTTAGGTGGGGAGCCCCCGGACTATTCAGGTGCCACTTTATGTTCAGACTTTCCGCAGCTAATCTTGACAGGTTTTGGAGTTCTTTTATAGCTCCGACAAAATTGGTTCCTTGATCACTTACGATTTGAACGCAAGTGCCACGTCTAGCTACAAAGCGTCGTAACGCTGCAATGCAAGCTTCCGTAGTCAAGCTTGAAACTAACTCGATGTGGATAGCTTTGACACAAGTGTCGACAAACACCGCAATATACGATTTCGTGACTTGCGCTCCACGACGTCTTTGACCTACAAAGGATTTTATTGGACCAGCATAGTCCAGACAAACGTGGGAGAAACACTTCAGCTGGGAAGTTCTGAAATCGGGTAGATCTGCCATATATGGTGTGTATGATTTAGGTTTTAAACGAGCGCATCGAATGCATTGGGATAAGACCTTTTGAATTGCTTTACGCGCAGATATGATCCAAAATTTTTGGCGAATAAGATACTGCACTGTATTAAGCCCAGGGTGCAGATTTTCGATATGAGTTTGAGTTATGATTAAATTGGTAAGATGATGAATTTTGGGTAATAATAAGGGATGTTTCGCCTCAAAAGAGAGCTGAGAATGCCTTAATCTACCGCCCACTCTGACTAAACCCGACTCATCTAAAAACGGTGCGAGCTTGCGGTACGGCTTAGGTAATAATTCATTATTTTGTATTTTCGAAATTATGTCCGGAAAACACTCTTCTTGGACCCTTTTGACTAAAACAAGCAAGGCTTTGTGCAATTCGAAAGCTGCAAAGGGTCCCAAGATTGGATTTTTCAGGTTTTTTCGATTATGAATAAGTCTTAGAAAATGGCAAATAATTTTTTGAATTAGGGTTAGGTTAGAAAACTTACTTATTAGATTGTCGAAAAAGTTTGGAGTATGCGATTCTGCCATTAATACGGTATTGTTAAGTGGCTTTTCCTCTTTTATGACTTCATCAGGTGCTTCCTCGGAAAATTCCTCTACGAATTTCTTTATTTTCCACTCGGAAGTTGGCAGGATTACCCAAGGCGGACCATGGAACCATAGAGGATGATTTATTAGACTGTTTGGGGTTAGACCTCTGCTGGCACAATCAGCCGGGTTTTCGAGTGAAGGAATATGGTACCAAGGAACTTGAATGGTTTCTTGAATGTGACTGACGCGGTTCGCTACAAAAGTTTTCCACTTGTGAGGAGATGAGGTAACCCAATGCAGTGCAACACGTGAGTCCGAAAATGCAAGAATTTCATCGATTAGGATCAGCGAAGAATAAGTTCGGATAACTAATTCGAGCAAATCAGCTAGCAGGGTGGCTCCAAGAAGCTCCAAACGAGGAATGGATTTAGTATGAAGGGGAGCAACTCGTGATTTCCCAACGACTAGTGATGATTTGATAATATTGTTAGGTAGCTCAACACGAATGTACACGCAACAGGCATATCCTAGTTCTGATGCGTCACAGAAACCTAACAATTGACAACGTTGAATTTTATTTGGAAAAATGTGTCTAGGTAGACAGATACTCGAAAGATTATTTAATTGATTACTAAATTGCTTCCAAAGGGTAGTGATCGATTCAGGGGGTGTTTCATCCCAGTCAATATTGCATAACCAAAGCTTCTGCATTATAACTTTCGCGAAAAAATGAGACCGGAGATAAGAAGCCGAGAGGATCCCAAATTTTTGCAATAGCGGATAGAATGCTTCTTTTAGTGCAAGTTTTTTCGGATGGGGTGCATGAGTAGGTGAATGTGTCGGTTGAAGGGTGCCATTGAAGGCCCAGAACCTTGATAGAGGCGGAGTTATCATTCTCGAAAGTTATTGGGATTTGGCAATCCGATGGGGACAAATGAGAGATGAGTTTAGGGTTATTTGATGCCCATTTACGGAGTTCAAATTTTCCTAA